GACCAGTGGGAGTCAACACATAAAATTAATGAAAATTATGTATTGTTGATAATGTCGGGATCAAAAATGTGTTGTTTTCATACTTTAAAATAAAACTGAGTTTTTGTGGGGAGGGACTAGTCTATGGATGGACTAACTGCATAATAATTGTGTTCAAAACATTAAAACTACAACATAGATTTGATCCCTACCCATCCTAAACAGTAATCTAATTGCTAGAAGAGACACTTTAAGGATTTAAAACAAATTTTTTAGGAAAGAAAATATAATGGAATGGAAATTTATTGCTACAGACTAAACTGTAGCTAAATGACTTTTTTGATGTATTGAAACTTAGAATTTTATAATGGTATACAAAATAACTTGCATGAAATTTCTATTCTGCGCTGTTATTGTAGATGAATTTTGGTCAGTTGCATGCCTCACCCTCAGACCCTTGTCTATGCTAGCAGGATGAAGTACTGTGGTCTCCTTGGCCTGAACATTGCTTACATTGTGTTCATAACTTGTTTCCTCATCACTCCATTTGGAATCTTCATATAAGCTTATTTCAGTAACTTTTTAAAAATAGAAAGGATGTAATGTGTTTCAAATCTTTTTTCCACAATTTCCAAGTTGAAATAAACTTGATTCATGCAGGGCAAGTTGGAAAGAATTTGAGAGCAAAGTAGTCAAACGAGAAATGGATATTATGGGGGAAAACTTGGATCGTATTTGTGTAGTTTTTAAGTTCGTACTGACTCCTTGTAGTTTGGTGGCTTTTGTGGCTAGAGATGCTTTAACTTCCATCTAATAGCTTATATACATTTGATCTTTTGAGTGAGGTATCTCTTAAAGTGTCAAAGGGATAAGATTGTGAATGGCACATGGCACTGCTTACCAAACATTAAGTAGAATGATAAAAGGGTATTCCACTCATTGGAAATTAATTTTATCATTTTTTTATCTATAACATTGTAACCTGAACATCCATTACATTATCTTAATAAAATAATATATTTTAGTAGGATAAACCTCCAAGGGGCTGGGGATGTGGCTCAAGCGGTAGCGGGCTCGCCTGGCATGCTTGCGGCCCGGGTTCAATCCTCAGCACCACATACAAACAAAGATGTTGTGTCTGCCGAAAAAACCAAAAAATAAAAAAATAAAAATAAATAAATAAACCTCCAAGTCACACTGAGTCTCTGTATCAGGGCATTATTTTTGGAAAAAGTGACAGTAATCGTTCTGGAAGGTAGGAAATTGTCCCATAGGCCAGAAATTAATATCTCCTTATCATTGGGAGAAAGTGCCTTTTCCAGATGTTGTTACTAGTGTCAAACTAGGTGCTCCTGACCCTATAACTGCCTTTTAGTTTATACTTTACAACTAATGCCTTAAAAAAATGAAATTGTTATTAACCCACAAATGGAGTAACATTATAGCTTATCTATTTCTTCTGTTGGCAGATTAGTAAAAAGGACTGACCTAAACTTTCTCTTTATTGGTAGATACATAGTTTCAATTGTGTATTCAAAAGATAAACTCAGAATGCCCACCCTCCTAGTAATAGTCCTAATTCTAGACTGATTGATTGATTTGGTTGATTGATTGTGGTGTTAGAGATCAAACCCAGGGCCTTTTGCACACTAGGTAGATGGTCTACCACTGAGTTATATCTCCAGATCCCCAGATTTTAATTTTAACTTGTAGAATATTCTGAAAATCAACATTTTAAGTATTAGAACAATTATTGCATGATAGTTCTTTCCAGCCTAAAAAAACTCCCCCACAGGACCTAAATCTTCCATATGAATACACACACACACACATATACATACATATATGAATCATAAAGACAGGAAAACTCACCCTTGTGAATTACAAAAAATATTTACATTCTAGTTTTTTTCTTTTAACATCCTTTGCTATCCATACTTTATTTTTTAAATTTGGTTGAGGTGAGGGTGTTTCCTAAGTTTGGTTTTTAATTTTTTTTAATGTGTTTTCTTTAGCTTGCTTGAACTTTCAAAGTTAGAAAGCATGGGATTTGGAGTTATAAATTTTGTTTAATCCCAGGGATTAAACCCAGGGATGCTTAACCACTGAGACACATCCTCAGCCCTTTTTTATTTTATTTGAGAGAGGGTCTTGCTAAGTTGCTTAGGGCTTTGTTAAATTGCTGAGGTTGGCTTTGAATCTGAGATCCTCCTGCCTCAGCCTCCCAAACTGCTGGGATTACAGGTGTGAGGTGTGCCTCACCACAGCCAGTATGGAGTCATAATAAATTTTATTTATTTATTTATTTATTTATTTATTTATTTTTAAAGATAGAGACGAGAGAGAGAGAGAATTTTTAATATTTATTTTTTTGTTTTCGGTGGACACACATCTTTGTTTGTATGTGGTGCTGAGTATCGAACCTGGGCCGCACGCATGCCAGGCAAGCGCGCTACCACTTGAACCATATCCCCAGCCCAGTCATAATAAATTTAGATCGGTTGTTTAGGAAGTGAAAAGTACTTGGTAGTTCCCTGACCAAATCTTAAGAATATTGTTAAGGAACTACACTACCATTTAAAAACTGTATTATTTTATTTCTTTATTTTTAAAATTTTTGTAGTTTTGTATTTTGTCATCACTCCTTGGTGGGTTCTGCTTTCAAATTTAACTCATTGTTCTTATTCCATATCATAAGCATATTGATTATGGTTACATATAGTATTTTAATATTTAAATCCATGTGTGAATTAAAAATAAGAGGTAATTTTAGTGTTACTACTGTGGTTTTCTTAATGTAAAGGATAAATTTGATTAAAGGCATTTTCTCCTAAAATTTTGACCGATGAACTTTTGATTAAACAGCTTTGGAAAATTCCTGAAGCACTGGACGCTCTTGGCTTGTAACTGTAATTACAGCAGCTTGGGAAGTTGAGGCAGGAGGATTGCAAGTTCAAAGCCAGCCTCAGCAACTTAGTGAGGTGTCCTGAGCAATTCAGCAAGACCTTGTCTCAAAATTAAAAAGAGCTGGGGATGTGGCTCACTGGTTAAGGGCTTCAGGTTCAATCCCTGGTACCAAAAGAATAAAGAAAGAAAGAAAAAGCCCTGAAGTATCAGTGGGTTTTAGAAAATAACCTTTTGCATACTCCAGGAGGGGGATAAGTATTTTAAAAGGAGATGTTTTTTATTCCAGTAAAGTTTCTGGTTGTACTTTGTTTAATTTAGTGAGTTTTTTCCCTCATTTAAGACTGACTTCAGTTGAAGGTAGACTTTCACCCATAATGGTGTGGGTTTTATATTTGCATGTGAAGAAGATTTGATATTATAAGGGGTGATTCAAGGTGTTGTATAAAGATAATTATTTCTTTCCATATTGTGTGATTTGTCCAGTTGCAAACTTTTTTTTTTTTTGTAGCAGGGATTGATCCAGGGGCACTTAATCACTGAGTTACATTTTTAGACCTTTTTATTTTTTGAGACAGGGTCTCAGCAAGTTGCTTAGGATGTTGCTAAATTGCTGAGGCTGGCTTTGAATTTATGGTCTTCCATCTCAGTGTTCTGACTGCTGTGATTATAGGCATGTGCCTGGCCCAAATTTTTCAATATGTCTTGAGAGTTGGAATATTGTTTGTAAGTTTCACTGGAGGAAGGAATATTGGGAAGTACCATTCCTGAAAGATGTGGTAGTTAAAAGAAGACATAGTAGTAGTTAAAAGAAGACATAGTAGAGAATTACTGTATCTGTAGATATAGTAAAACCCCCAGGTAAGAGACTGTTTGCCTAGCATAGTTACATGGTTGATAATGCTGTAACTTTTTAGGTTACTCTTTGGTTTGCTGCTGGAAATTGAACCCAGGGCTTCCAGCATGCTTGCTCTCCCCCCACCCAGCATCCCCAATCTTCCCAGCCACATTAAGTAAAGAACAAGAATTATTTTTTGGGGTAGGGGGTATTGGGAATTGAACTCAGGGTCACTTGACTACTGAACTACACCCCCCAGCTCTATTTCATATTTCAACATAGTCTCACTATGTCGCTTAGTCCCTCACTTTTTGCTGAGTCTGGTTTTGAACTTTTGATCCTTCTGCCTCAGCCATTGGGATTACAGTCGTGTGCCACCGCGCCTGGCAAGAACAAGAATTCTTTGTCCAAGATTTTTTCCTTAGTAGAAAAATACAGATCTTTAAAAATGGAGATGCAGTGTTTTAAGATATTTTATAGTGTAAATTAGTGATTTAGTTCCTTCACATTGTTTTTCAGATGTGCAGTTGGAAGATTTTTCTGTTTGTGTGAAATTTGGTAATTGCTGAATTTTAAGCCAAACTTAACCAATTGGCTTGGATAAAATACCTATTTTTCTCCCCAATTACTAAGTGTTTGGGCAAAATAAAACAAAGAGTGAGAAAAAATAAGATTTGCCTATGAGTCATTTATTTCTCTTGAATTTCCAAAGGAACAATATACATAGAACTTATGATTAGAACTGTATTTTTTTCCTTTTTTTTTTTTTTTTGGTACCTGGAATTCAACCCAGGAATGCTTAACTACTGAGCCTCAGCCCTTTTTATTTTTTATTTTGAATCAGGGTCTCACTAAATTGCTCAGGGCCTTGCTCAGTTTCTGAGGCTGGCTTTGAACTTGAGATGTTCTTGTCTCAGCCTCTTAAGCCAGGGATTGTAGGCATGAGCCATTGTGCCCTGCTCAAACTGGATTTTAAAATGTTGCCACAATCGGAATGCCTTCTGGCTTAGGAATAGTAAATCAAAAGAATTTTTGCTCTATTATACTCCAAATTTTTCAAAAGTTACTCTGTTGGGTACAGTTCCCAGTTTTTAGATGTACACAAACCTTTATTTTGTTTAAAATATTTATTATGTGTTGCTGAGGATTTCCAGTTTTTAAAAAAACAATTTTAGAACAGTGTGAGACTTACAGAATTATTATGAGAGTAGTAGATAGTTCCCATTTATATTATACCCCATTGTACCTTTTTATGAACAAGTTCCATCAGTATGGTACATTTGTCACAACTTTTAGACCAGTAACTGATAGTATTTAATTCCATACTGTACTTGGATTTCCTATCTTCCCTTTTTCTGCTTTGCATCTCATCAACAATCCCTCATTGTGTTGGGCATGGTGGTGTATGCCTGTAATCCAAGCGACTCAGTAGGTTGAGGCAGGAGAATTGCAAGTTCAAAGCCAGCTTCAGCAATTTGGCCAGACGCTTTCTCAAAATGAAAAATAAAAAGGATAGGGGATGTGGTTCAGTGGTTAAGCACCTTGGATTCAACCTCCATCAAACAATTCTACATTGTATTAAATTGTCACTTCTAAGATTTCTTGGTTGTCACAGTTTCTTAGTCTTTTC